GGTCGATCTGGAGATATTCAGCCCAAAAGTTGGTCCGTGGTGTTGATTAACTCAGGCCAGGGCTTCTAGCCCTTGATCAGTGATGTTTAGAGATTTCTCAGTTGCTACATTATCTTCTATTGAGTTCTTCCTTTGGTTGATCTGCAGTTTCCTTAGGTGTTAATTGCTGCCTGCTACCATGTTACACATTCAATCACTGATTCACTCGCTCTTTCAGGGGCCAGCCTGATGCAGGGAAGGGCAGTTTGATTCCTGCCCTTGTTAACATTGTTACAATGTATAACTTACTTATGAAACTAAACACATTTAGTTGAAAGTTGAAAGATGAGGAGTATAAAATATAAGCTACAAAAGTAATGCCATGGCACACAAATAGATAAAAATACCAAAATACAAGGGGAGATACAAAATGCACACATACAAATTTCAAAACACAATTCCTTATCTTAAAGTGAAAGAAAGAGGAGGGAAGAAAAGGTAGAAGAGGAAAAACATATCCAAGGAGGGGAAAGCAACTGCAGGCAAGAGGAAAAGGGGCTTTCTGCTACAACCCCAGGCACCATGCTCTGGACTGGACTGTGGCAGGACAGTAGGGGATGCTACTACTCTAAGCCACCTGCCTCTCTGTGCCCAGCCAAACCCCTGCTTTGGGCGTCTCCTCTGGGGTGCCTAGCTAGACTGGGCACCATTTGTGGCTGGGTCCTAGACCAACAGAAGTGGGGGGCTGAAGTGGTGCTGCATGCAATGCTGGATGGGCCTGGCTGGAAGCCCTGTGGAACACAGATCCTACAGTGGGTGCCCTGTGTGCTGGATCCTACTTGAGGGGTGAAGGGAAGGTCCAGGAGCCTGATACAGCCTCTGAAACAGCCCATACACTCATCTAACCCACAGAGCCAGATGGGTTTGACACCCCAGCAGTAGAGGAATGTGACTCTTATAGTTGGACAGGAGGCAAGATAGATTTGCACTTTGTAGACCAACTAAACCAGAGATGCATAGCATAAGCTTTTGTGAGCAGTGTCTTACTTCATCAGATGCTGATAGCTGGCCATTCTGGTGTCTGTCACTCATTTCCTCCCAAGTGCAGGCAGTAACTGGTCCCTTGAATACAAAGCTTTCTGAGCCCTCACAAAAGGCTGAGCTGTGGTCTGAGCCCCTGGCTGCTGGCTCCTGTTCAGCCTGACACTATTCCACTCCTGGGTAACCAAAAAGAGTCACAGCACAGTTGGCAGCCCCAACCAATCTTACCAATTCCTTCTACCACCAAAAATCATTGAACTTGTATCCAGGCAGCAAAGTTGAATTTGAGGGTGTGGAAAAGTTTGCAGGTTCTCCTTTAGCAAAGGAAAAATCACCCAAGGGAGTTTCCTTCCCTCAGGAACAAATTTGGATTCAGCTGGAGATTCTAAAGGAAGAGAGAAGGAAGCTTCAAGAACAGAAAGAGAGTGAAAACCAGAAATACAAAGACTATCAGGTCAGTGCTCCAGCACACGAATCCCCCAGACACTCAAGTACCCCTCTTCCTTTTTGCATTGCCCCTGAACCTCAAAGACCTCCAGCTTCACTCTGTCTCCTGTTGTCCCATGTGTGCCCCAGTTGGATCAGATCCCACCATCTCCTTAACACCCCATTAAATTCTACCCACTGCCACTATGAACCCATTGCACCCTACACAGAATTATCCCCATTACACCCCAGCCCCTGACCCCTCACCATCTCCCTCACACCCCACTGAGCTCTCCCCTGCCCCTCTGAGCCCCAAACCTCACTGAAGCCCCTCACATCTCCTGGGCCCCCTTCACCCACAATCCCTCTTACTCTCAACCTCATTCACATCCCTTTTCACTCCTACAGCCCTTACCACACCCCTCAGCCCCACACCTCATCTGCCCCTCACACCCCCACAGTGGTCCAGACCATCTCACTCCACAACTTCCTATCCCATTGCCTTCCCCCACCTCCCCAAAACACCCACCTTGGTATCCATGGCCCCCTTCCTTCCCCTCATGACCCCCAGGATCCTCTTCCCTTCATTACCCCTCCCAGACGGTCCCACCTACCCCTCATGGCCTCTGATCATGGGGCAGGGGTGGCAGGGCTGTAACTGCTGACCCCTTTTCCCCCATTCCCCTCCCCACAGTATGCCCGTCTGGCTTCCACTGCCTTCCACTCTCAACATGCAAGAACAAAACAACTGGGTTTGGGGGAGGACTCATTTAAGCTGTTTATGGCATCCCTACCGGGGGGAACCAATCCCTCTGGATCTACTCATGCCTGGCTTTATGCCACCCTTGTTTTGTGACCTGGTTCAGCCTCTCACCGTCTCCATTATCTGGTGCAATTAATAACCCAAGAAAGAATTACTAGAAAGTAAGAAGGTAAAAAGCACTATACTGAGTCAGACCAGTTGTCCATCTAACCCAGTATTCTGTCTCCAGCCATGGCAAAAATGGATGCTGTATAGAAATCTCCGCATCTGACATCCATCCTTATTGGTTTATAGATGCCAGAGGCATTCGGTTCAATTGCCATGCATAAATTTATATAAGAACATAAAAAGTGAAGTACCTTACCTCTTTGCCTCACCTTTGCAACTCCACCTTGCCTGTAACTGTGATGCCACCATATAGCTCATCTTGCCTTCAGCCCTGTTCTTCCCCTCCCTGTCATTTGGATATTGTGGTTTTGAGTACTCTAGGAACAAAGCCACCAAGTACAGGTTCCAGGTAGCAGCACATCTTTCTTCTGATTGTGTCAGGAAAAGGCAGAAATAGAGATGCAGGAGATTTTGGCTGAATACAAGAAACTGTACCAATATTTTCAAGAAAAAGAACGCCTCCTGCGTGTCCAGCTCAGAGACCTGGAAGAGAAAACTGACAAAAATCACAAGGAAACAATCACCCAACTCTCTGAGGAGATATCCTGTCTAAATAGTTTGATCGAAGAGCTGGAGGAGAAGTGCCAGCAGCAGACAGGTGACTTCCTGCAGGTGAGGTGCATTGAATCCCTTCCATCCCTGCACTGAAAAGGGAAAGGCCTGAATCACTGGTCTGGGTGGGATCAGTAGTGTAACTTAGGGGGTGGGGTAACTGGGCGGCAAGCCCAGGTGCCTGCTTGATAGGCCTGTGCAAGTTAGCAGCGATCCAATCCAGCTTTGGATCCATCCGCTTCAGATGGCAGTGACCCAGTCCAGAGCTCTGGACTGGGTTTCCACCTCGATCTGGCCAAAGTGGCTCTGAAGCTTCGAAGCCGCCTTGGGGATCCAGCCATAGGGTATAATGGGGGAATCAATGAAATATCTATAATTTTGTTGTTTTTTGTCCAATTTGGATGAAACTTGCAGGGATGGTAGCCTCTACTAAGAGCATGAAACCTGCCAAGTTTCAGGAAGATTGGTGCAGGGGTTTGGGGGAACTGTACCCCAAATTCTTGAAAGCAAAACTCCTGTCACGTCCATGTGGTACACCACAGGGGGGTCAAAACTGCTTGGGTGGTGGGCCCTGCTCAGGCCACAAAGTTTGTCAAGTTTCAAGAAGATTGGTGCAGAGGTTTGGGGGGAACTCCACCTCAAGCTGTGGACAAGCAAAACTTGTGCCATGGGTGACACTGTGTGTGCTAAGGCGCAGGGATGGTGGCCCCTGGTGAGGCCACGATGCCTGCCAGCTGCACCAATCTCCTCCACAGCTGGCAGGTGTTGTGGCCACAGCAGGGGCCACCATCCTTGCAGCTGTCACCCCGCTGTGCCTTAACACACGCAGATCCGAAGCTCTGTCCGAAGCCTCGCACAGCCCTACTACTTGAGGGGAGAGGAATGCAAACACAGCAGCTGCAGCAGCTGTTGCTATCCTGTGCACCATGGTACTTTGTTTCATTCTGGGACGCATCAGTAGATCAGGTCTTGAAAACATTTACCTAGATCCTTTTGTGTGATACTTGGAGCTTGAGGGGAGAGTGCATAACCCCCAGAGCAAGAGAGTCCCAGGTTTGTGGTATATGATACTAACCTTTCTTTTCTCTTCTCTGTTTCTGTCCCTTCTAGGGCATCAAGAGCATGTTGAGCAGGTATGTGGCTTCTCCTCACTCCCATGCAGGGAAGGGGCCTGGAAATAGTACTATGGCCACATCTCCCCAGATCACCACAACATGGGCAGCAGGGGCACCATTGGGATACAGGTCTTCTAAGAAATAACCATCCTGAGATTGTTCCCACATTAATACAAGCTCTGGTGTTATCCCTGGGGTAGGAAGGATTAGCCTCTGCTGTTCTAAAGCGAAGGAACAGATCTGGGGCCTGGCTGCCTCAGGACTATGGGAATTTGAGCCTTTCGGCTCTTGGCTGCCAAGGAAAGTCCCTTGCTCCTAGAGTTTGAGGCGACTTGTGAAGGGTGTTGGCACTACCATTATTTGCAGTGCCTCTGCCCTGAGGCAAAGTATATGGTGGGGGTCAGTCATTAGGCCAATCCACATCTAGCTAATGTCTCTACCATGATGCTGAAATACAAAAGGAAAATAAAGTAACACCACATTGTTTTTCTCAGGTGTGAGAGAAAACAACTCAGGATGCCTGGAGAGATTTTCTCTAAGATGAAAAAGAAACTCGGGAAGCTTACTGCTCAAAAAATGGCTCTAAGAGAGACTTTAGGACGGTTTCAAGGTACTGAGAAAAGGGCTTTGGGGGGTAACAAAGCACTGTTCATGTTTCTAAGGAGGAGACAGGGTCTGGGCTGTTAGATTCAGGCTCCAAATAAAAACTCCTTTTTTAGAGAGAGAAACTGAACACCTGGGCTGATGCAGCAGGATGTGGGAATCATCCCACCTTGCACTGACCTCAGTGAATATCAGCAAATCCTTAATAAACTTGGACTCTTCAGCAGGCCCTCAGGGCATCACCAACCTCCAGAACTACAGGGTCCTTGCTGCTCCAGCACTGCTCAGCATCATCCATACCTGCAGGCACAGCAGCAGCTGTGGGTGGGAGCTTGTGGAGTCCTGCCCCACTGAGAACCAAGCCGCTGTGCCCCCTGACTGGATGCCCAAATTAGGAATCTAAATTCAATGAAATGCAGGTTTTCAGGTTTGGAGCCTGGTGGCCTGATCCCAAGGGCAGGTAGGGAAACCTACCTGTCCCTTGGCAACCTGGGAATTCCTTCAACAAGATGTCTCCTGCCCAGTAGCTGCAGATGCAGGGAGTGCTCATGAGGAAGCAGAAGCAGAGATGGGAGGAGTAGGAGCAGGTTGAAGCAGGGAGGGGGGCTGTGGCCTAGGTTAAGCTACTATCCTGCACCCCATAGTGGCCACTGAGTGGAAGGTGACACTGGCTGGACCCCTGGAGTTCCCCAGCCAATAAAGACATTGTCTGGTCCCTTAGCCAACGAATCAGGGACCTGTAAATCTTATCCCTTTGCCAAGGGATCTTCCCTCAACTCCACCACTTTCCCATCAAAAAGCAGAAAGAAAGGAGCCAGGAAGGGCTGGGTACTGAGCTCCTCTGGGTCCATGGTTGTTACATTCCTCCCTTCGCTCCTCTGCCTGCACCTGTAACTTCCTCCTTCCCTGTCCTGGGAGAGGAGACCCCACTGCAGGGGAGCAGGGAGATGCAGAGGCAGCTTCTGAAGCCACAGACCCCAGTAGGACTGCCAACCCTCCCGGATTGGCTGGGAGTCTGCCAGAATTGGCATCGATCTCCCGGTGACTATTGAAAGCAATCCAGGAGATTTTAAAAGGATATTATATTATGTCATGTTGGGGGAAAAAATCTCCCTGATTAACTTCAATCAAAGTTGGCACCCCTAGGCCCCAGCAGTTGGGGGAAGAGCTGTCCCAGTGTCTCTGCTCAGTCTCTGGGGCTCAGGACAGAGGCAGGTCCCAGCCTGGCATCACAAACCAAACACAGGAGGTCTAATGTCTGTGACCCTTTCCCTTTACAGATGATCTTCCATCCAGCCAGAAGAAGGCCAGGTGGCAACAGCACGGATCTTACAATGTAGGTAAGTGCTGGATGAGCTTGTCCTGACACCAACAGAACGGTCCCAGAGAAACCATAGCCTCAAGAAGACTAAAAACCTGCCAGCCCAGCAGTAAAACCCCCTGTCCTGTAACCTGGCAGGTTAGGATTTTCCTGCCTTTGCTTGTGGATTTGCTACCATGTTTTTCTTTTCCTCTGGGGCAGGTGCTCTCCCCAGTGCCAGACTGAGGAGCTGTGGGGCTGTTCCTGCTCAGCCTCACAGGCCCAGGACAGAGGCAGCTCCTGAGGCCCAGAACAGACATAGCCAGAATGGGGCTGCTGGTGGGTGTGAGTAATGGCCCTGGTCTGAACTGTGCCCTGATGCTGAGATTCTCTCTCCCAGTGAAGGTGACTCTGGATCCAGATACAGCTCATCCCTACCTCCTTCTGTCTGAAGATCGGAGAAGTATGACACGGGCAAGGAACAGACAGGATGTGCCTGACAATCCTGAGAGATTTGACCCTGTGCACTACGTGTTGGGTTCTGAGGGATTCACCTTGGGGAGACACACCTGGGAAGTGAACGTAGCACAGGTGCACAGCTGGGCTCTGGGGGTTGCCAGAGAGTCTGTCAGGAGGAAGGGAGAGATTATTCCTAGCCCTGATAGGGGAATCTGGGCTGTGCGGTCCTGTATGGGTCGCCTTCGGGCTCTCACTAGCCCTACTTACACCCCTGTGGTCCTGAATCGCACGCTCAGCAAGGTGCGGGTGTGTCTAGACTGTGCAGGAGGATGGGTGTCATTTTTTGATGCTGATGCCGAGGCTGCACTCTTCACCTTTCCGCCAGCTTCATTCAATGGGGAGAGAATCCGGCCCTTGTTCTCAGTGTGGATGACTGGAGCTGCGCTCAGCCTGTGCCATTGAGTAAGACCTCCAAAGTCTAGCCCTTGGGATGCTCCCAGCTTTAAAGTCGGCATCCTCCTCTAATCCAGAGAAGTCCAGAGCTGGGGCTTTCTGAAAACTACGTATTGGCTTACTTTGTACTGAGAGGTTCCTGCTGGGATAACATGTGGGAGGGAGGCAATTTAGGCTATCCAAGGGCTACCTGTGGGAAGCTGCTGGGATGTTTACGTATGCAAATATGGAAAAAGAAAAAACCCTGCACTTTACTTTCAGCTCAGCGCACCCCCCACAGTGAAGAGAGCACATGCCCAGAAGAGGCATTGCATTAGTTTGATCGGGTTCACCCAACACCTGTATAAATCAGGTGCTTTAGTGAGGCTTTTTGGTGCTTTTATCTAATAGCTGATTGAATCAACTTTAGCCAAAGCACCATGTACAGCAAAGGGCCATGGGAAAGGGCGCTGCCCCGAAATGGAAGTCTCCAAGATCCCACAGAGTTACACTTGGGCATAGGGACCTTCCTTCCTTAGGATATTCTGAAAACACCAGCTCCACTGCACTGCCCTGCACTGGTCCTTGGTCTCTTATGTCAGAAGATATCTCAATAAACATAAAGTGTGGGAAATTTTTTTTCGTTTTGCTTTGTTCTTTTAGTGGTGTTGGCTCTTCTGTCTTATTTCTCCTTTTCTTTCTCCTTTCATGACACCTGCTGTGGGTTCCTTTCCATTACTCAACCTCACATGGCAAGATGTCCCCCATGGGCCGGACACCACTTCTACCACAGCTACTGCTGTGACTGTGGCACTGCACTCAGTGTGCTGAATCTGGGGAAGGCTCTGCACACACAGCTATGCAGTAGTGCGAAAAGAGGAAGGGACCTTGGTGTGGTCAAGTCCTTCTGTTACAAATCAAATGAACCGGTGAAGCTTTTCCAGAGCCAACCCCTCCCTCCTTCCTCCAGAGCAGGTGGACAGCAGAGATATTAGGGTGTTCAGAGCAGGACACATGCCTATTTCTCTATCAGCAGGAGCCTGAGCTTACATAGCCCTGATCAGTCAGTGTTCTCACTCAGAGGGTGTATTACAATTGCTGTGACCCTGTCCCCATTCACAGAAATCTCCCTCAGAGCTCTTGCCTCTGGGCCTGATATGTTGTGAGCTCAGCAACAACACTCTAGACACTCCTGAGTTGAACTAACCATTATTTATTATTATAACTCTCTGGAATCATATCGAGGGTGGATCTTAACAATTGCTCTCTGTATATGTAGGCAGAACTTATACTACTTATACTCGTTCTGCCTCTGACTTGACCAAGTCCAGCCCTGTGGAGGGAGAGGAACCAAGAATGTCTCTGGCTCCGCATGGCAGAGAAAAATGGAGGCCTCAGTGCTGCAAAACTGCCACAAGCAAACTGAACCCTGCAGTGCTGAACATGAGGGCTTTGGCCTTCAAAGGACAGTACAAGGAAAACACAATATGACACAACAGAAGACAAGCTTCTGAAGGCCAGCCAATATGGCTTTGTGATGGGCAGGTCTCACCTAACCAACCTCATCTTCTATGACCAGGTGACACAAGCCCTAGACAAGGGAGATGACATGGATGTCATATATCTGGATTTCAAGAAAGCCTTCAACCTAGTTCCCCACAATGTCGCCATGGCTAAGCTGGGGAACTGTGACCTTGATCATCTTCTGATCCGATGGCTAGGTAACTGGCTACAGGGTTGGACCCAAAGAGTACTAGTTGACAGGAGCATATCAGTGTAGTGTAGGGTGACCAGTGGAGTCCCTCAGGGCTTGGTATTTGGACTTGTACTCTTTAACATCTTCATTAACTATCTGGAGTCGGAAGTCAGATACAAACTGGCAAAGTTTATGGATGACACCAAATTATGGGGGAGAGCGGTCACACAGCAGGACAGGCTGGGGATACAGGCTGACTTGGACATGCTCTCAAGGTTGGCTGACCAAAACCTGATGGCCGTCAATGTAGAGAAGTGTAAGGTGCTGCACCTCGGTAGGAAGAACCTTCAACATACTTACAGGCTTGGCAGTGCTACACTCGCTAGCACCACAACCAAAAAAGACTTGGGGGTCCCAACTGACCACAAGATGAATATGAGTCACCAATGCAATGCTGTGGCTGCCAAAACAAACCAAACTCTGGTGTGCATCTACCGATGCATCTCAAGCAAAACCAGGGAAGTCATCCTCCCACTTTACTTGGCCTTGGTGAGGCCGCAGCTGGAGTACTACATCCAATTTTGGGCCCTCCACATCAGGAGGGATGTGGAAAAACTTGAGAGAGTCCAGAGGAGAGCCACCCAAGGCCAGGAGGGCAGGTCATACAAGGAGAAGCTGAGGGATTTGGGACTCTTCAGTCTGGAAAAGAGAAGGCTCAGGGGGGGGACTTGGTAGCAGCCTACAATTATATAAGAGGGGTACCTCAGGACCTGGGAGAACAGCTGTTCACCAGAACTCCCCAAGCGATAACAAGGTCTAATGACCATAAACTCCAGGAAGGCCGATTTAGACTAGATGTTAAAAAAAAGTTCCTAATGGTGCATGTATCCAGGGTCTGAAACAGACTCCCCACAGAGGTGGTGCAAGCATCTACTCTGGACTCTTTCAAAAAACATCTGAATATTTTTCTTGCTGGGATAACTTGACCCCAGGTGACTTCCTGCCTATGGCAGGGGGGCTGGACTTGATCTCACGGGGTCCCTTCCAGCCCTTAATGTCTATGAAACAACACTCCTTCCCCCTAGCCAGAAGAGCCAGCCAGCCATTTGGGAAGACTCCACTTCTGCTGTGGTCTTCCCATAGAACCAGACTCAGTGAGGAGTTAGGCTGACAGGGCCGCCATCTGCTGATCTGGAGACTCAACAGTGACGCTTCCTTCTGACGGTGATGGAAAAGGGTTTGCATTGCTGGAAACAGGTTGGCACTTCCCCAATGAATCCATGTCTGTTGGTGCTGGATTGGTGCTTGGCGATTGCTCAAGTGTAAGGTTATCAGCAGGAGAATGCCCAAGCAGCTGGGCCATATGATGTCTCCAAACTTGCCTATCATCAGATTCGACTGTATATGATATGGGTCCTGTGACACCCACAATTTTAGATTGAACCCACTCTGGGCCTGTCCCATCGTTCTGAGCAAACACAGTTTCTTGTGGAATGAAAAGAAGTAAAGTACCAGATACCAATGCGGGGTCCAACTCCTTTTCTTTCCTAAACTGCATGTCTCGCACAAGGTCTGGGTTAACGTGGTCAAGGCATGTCTTGAGATGACAACCCATAAGAAGCTCTGATGGGCTGGACCCTGTTTTAGGGCAAGGAATTACATGTTGAGCAAGCAGAAATCTGGCCAGTCTTCTACAACAATCCTTTTCAGTGCATCTTTTGCAGTCTGCACCATTCGTTCAGCTTGCCTATTGGCCTATGACCTGCGAGGTGTAATGGTAACAGTTTGAATGAGGTTGCGGCTGGCAAAATCTTGGAACTCTGCTGAGGTGAATGCACTGCCATTATCAGAAATGATAGTGTCGGGCACTCCATGGGTTGCAAACAGCTGATGGAGAGCTTCCACTTCCACTGAGCTCCTTTATCCAGTAAGTGATGAAGGGGCTCTGCTATGGTGGCTTTGTCTTTCAAGAAGATGTGATAAAAACTGAGAAGTCCTAAGCATGCTTGAAGATCCTGTCTGCATTTTGGTATAGGGGAATCATGTATTGCTCTTGCCTTGTCTTCAGCTGGGTGAATGCCAGAAGCATCAATCTGATATCCCAGAAAGTTGATGCTGGAAACTCCCAGCTGACATTTCTCTTTTTTACTCTGATACCTGCTTTATCAAATCTCTGTAAAACTTCTCTGAGTCTCTCAGTGAGTTTCTCTCTAGACGGCCCCATGATCAACACATCATCCAAGTATGGAACAACCCCAGGAATTCCTGCTAGCAATTTCTCCATGAACCACTGGAAAATTCCTGGTGCCACAGAAATTCGAAAGTGGTGGTGCTTGACACAGAATGCTCCCCAGAGTGTAATTATTGTTTGGGCCTCAGTAGTCTTGACATCCACTATCAATTTCTGATAGGCTTTACCAAGCTCAAGTTTGGGAAAAATCTTCCCTCCCGCAAGAACAGACAGTAACTGGTTAATGGCAGGCACTGGGGGTGGGTCCTGCTTAAGTGCTTTATTACCAGTGCACTTGTAATCCCCACAGATGTGAACACTGCCATTAGGTTTTAAAACAGGAGCAACTGGTGTGGCCCAGCTTGTATGTACAATTGGCTTGAGGAACCCTTGCGCGATAAACCGATCTAATTCTGCATCAATTTTTGGCTGCAATGTGAAAGGTACATTCCAAGCTTTCATAAAGATAGGGGCTACCACAGGATCCATTTGGAACGTCACAGGCGGACCACAGTAAGTTCTTAATTCCTCAGAGAATAGGTGGGGAAACTCCCTTGTAAGCCTTTGCAGACTTTCTGTGCAGAGACTGCGTATGCCTTGAATACTGATTTCCAATGGTGAGAACCAATTTCTCCCCAGAAGACTTTTGCAGGAACCCTTAGTGACAATGAGGGGTAGACGCTGTCTAATAGATCCATACTGGACATCTATACTTCAGCTACCTAGAGTTTCCATAGTCTGTCCATTGTAGTCATGCAGGCAACACTCAGGTTTCAATAACTTGGGGAAAGGGTGCCAAAACAACTTGAAGAATGTGTTTTCATCTATGAGGGATACTCCCAAACCTGAGCCCACTTCCATTTTGCATTTCTTTCCATTTATTACTACAGTTGCAATCATCTCAGAACCTTGAGTTTCAACAACACCGACATTTTGAATCAAACATGGTTTTTGTACCTCACGTTCTGGGGAGGACTCTAATCCGTGAGTGGTTGTCTCTAGTAGGTTATGGAATAGAGAAGATCCCACACAACTTACTGATTCGTTTGATGCACTGGCTGGGGAAATTTTTAGCTACTTGCACGATTTCACAACGATTGCACACTTAATTCATACAACACAATTTTACTTTAAAATTCTTTGCTACGCATATAACACTGCTTAGCTTTAAGAAATACCACAAACATTAAGAACACAATAACAACATATATCAATGCTCCAAATGCACTTCTTTAAAACAATTACAACTAAAAGTTAAATTTGAATCAATACTATTATTTTTCATAATATACTTACAATCCTAGAATTCCGAGAAGCCAAACATCTAGATATGCTTTCATTCCTCAGTAGTACAATTTAATGGGTTGGCCTCAGTAGTATGGTTCAATGGGCTCGCCTCAGCAATACAGTTCAATGGGCTGGCCTCAATACTGATAGGACTAAGTCCCCTTCCTTCAGTCCCTTTCGGGTGCTCCGCAGCTTCAGCGTGAACTAAGAGATTCGTGTTCACAGAAATGGTGGTTCAGGTGATCAGTCTGATCCGGCCTACACTTGCGATTCTTCCTTCATTGTTCTGCAAGTGAGGTTACCTCCAAATTGGAACAGCAGGTTACAGTTTTTATTAAGT